GGGTGAGCAAATTTCATTTCACAATTTCATGTAACATGAGTACATGTAAAACAGAAATTTGTGCTTCAAAAGTTTAAGCATATATCTAAGTTCATTTTCTCTCTCTCTCCCTTTCTCTCTTTCTCTCTGTGCAAATGTTCTGATATTTATCCTTGGGATCCAGAGCAACTATTTCATTTTCTGGCATCCAGGTTACAAGACTAGATTTATATCAAGTAGCAATTCAATCCTCCAATTCAGGATATGCACAGGCAAAGGTGCAGCCAGGTAAAGAAGAAAAATAACTATATTTGTTTTGTCTTTTCTAGTGAATTCTTCTCCTGAAACTTCCCTGACTCATCCTATATGGGTGTGTCTATCTTCTTCACTTGTTACTGTGTCAATTCAGTTACTTAGCCAGTTTCACAATGACTGGCCAAAATGTTTGCACAGAACAAAACTACAGAGAGACTTCTTGCTGATCTTGTTCTTCTTTGTTTTCACTATTTATTAAGTCTACATTCCAAACCAGAATGTGTGATCTTGCAAATAAGATTTTATTTCCCCTCCAGGGAATGTTTAATATCCCTTATCTTGTAATAACTTGGATTACAGTTTATTAATAATTTGGATTATAGTTTATAGCCTTATAGTATTAAAATGTTGAGACACTTATCATCTTCATGGAAAAATGTTTAAAAATGGAATAGAAAAAATTCATTTGGGCTTCCTGTTAAGCCCTAAAAGAGATATAAAAGATACTTTATTAACCTCTTTTTAGATTTTCAAAGTGACATTCTATTTCATGGAAGAGAATGAAGCATTTATTTAATCCCAAAACAGGGAATCTTTCATATTGTATTGTTTTATATTAACTCATAACTCTGCAGAAAACATTATAGGAACAATGGTCATAAATGCGCAAGGACTAAAATAAGCCACATATAGCTGTGTTTCAATTGGTTTGGCAAATGTGTTTCAGATTAAAAATGTTATCCTAGACTACTTATCTGAAAGAGTTTTGCAGCAAATCCCATTAAGTGTTCCCAAGAGCAAAACTATGCTGGGAATCTCCCTGGTTTGGGATACCAATTTTAACTCCATCTAATTTTGGAGCAAAAATAAAAAGCTTTTCATATAATTCCAGTATTCATCCTTGGGTTTATTTTTGTTAATGGAGAGAATAAAAAGAATATAAGGACACAATAAAGAAAGGCTTCTCAAAATGTGAGAAGTGACTGTAGCTTTAAGAACTTTACACATCACATAATTTACCAGTCTGGGGCAGATATTAGATAACGGATGTTAGCAAATACTTGTGTCCAATTAAAACTATGCTTGCATCATTACATATTCAATAAGAATGTAGCCTGTTGCATAGCTGCTCTGGGAACACAAAGACTCCTATTATTTCTGTCCAGAGCCATCACATTTGCCAGAATGTGTGTATCTACATTCCATAGTGAAGCCCATAGAAACCATTAATACCCTTCAGCCACAGGGACAGATGGCTTCTTTTCACCCTTATTATATCACAAAATAGTTGTGCATAGTGATACCTCCATCTGACTTTAATGCCACAATAGGACTTGGAAAGAAGCAAAGAAACTTATTGGCTTAATTCCAGTTAAACTAAGTTTCTTATCCTCCAATACTTTTTACATTTTAAACTATAGGGCTTTAAACTATGTGTGTGTGTGGTGATCTTGTAAAAGTGAGCCAACTTAGCTTAAGTAAACCACAAACTAAATCAAACTGTATGTGTTTGAAACCAGAATGCCAATGTGTTACAAAAATGAAAGGGGAAAAATATTTCTTTGCCAATAAAAATCTTGAAACAAAGCAAAAAGATAAAATCTTTATGTCCTAAGGAACGGTTTCTGTTCACAAAAGTTGCCATCTTTGGTCTTTCCACCACTAGGAGACTTTATATAAAGAAGTGAAGTTTTGCACTTTTTAGATTTTAGTGAAGTAACTTAGAATTGCCTGTGGTTTTGTTGGGTGGGGCCCGGTGGCTGCAAGTAGGACTAGAGTCTACAAACCTGTCTGAAAGATTGCAGGGTGCTCTCGGCTTCCTCTCTCTGAAGCATCTCCTCCTGCAATCTAAAACAGTTGCACATTAACCAAAGGGGAACTGGGAAACCGCCAGGGGCGGGGCGGCCACACCCAAACACCACGTCGCAGTGCCTTGAGACAAGAGCTGCTGCGCCATCTCCACCCTCACCAGAGACTAAAGCTTTTAGAACTCCCGCCTTCTGCAGTTTTAGCCGGACCTGGGGGTACCACGCTGAGACAAAACGCTCGCTGCAACAACTTCCAAGACAAACCCCTCTCCCACTACCCCTGAAAAGCCTCTTCCATCCCTTTGTCTTGCTTCCTTCAGAACTATCCCCCCCCCCCCCCCCGCTTCCTTCTGGCAACTGGCAACCCGCCAGGAGAACCAGGAAACTTTCTGAAAGTTTGGGGAAATCTCTCTCCATCTGTCCGATGGCCTTCAACAACAGATAACGTGGTAGTTTGAAGAAATCTCTAACAAGAACCGGAGCGTTCTTGGGCAATGAGTAGGGGGAGAAGGGAAATGCTAACTTCGAGGTCTAGGTTCAGGGCGGGGCTGCGCCACTGCAACCACAGCCTCACTCCCCCACGTTCGCCCGAGAGCCAGCCGCAGCCCAGGCCTCTTCCCCAAGGGCGTGGCAGCCACTCGCCGGGGTCCTGTTCCCCTCTCCCTCCATTGCCGTGCCCCCCGTGGGGCGCCGTGAGCGCAGTCTTACTTCTCTCGGAGGCGCATGATGTCCTCAGCCAGATTGTCGCGCTCCACTTCGACGCGGGCCTTATCATTGGTGAGCTGGTCCACCTGCCGGCGCAGCTCCCGCATCTCCTCCTCATAGAGGTCCCCAAGACGCGACTTGCCCTGGCCCTTGAGCTGTTCGAGCTCGGCCAGCAGGATCTTGTTCTGCTGCTCCAGGAAACGCACCTTGTCTATATAGTTGGCGAAGCGGTCATTTAGCTCCTGCAGCTCTACTTTCTCGTTGGTGCGGGTATTCTTGAACTCGGTGTTAATGGCATCGGCCAGTGAGAAGTCCACCGAGTCCTGCAGCAGCCGCACCCCGGGCACGCTGCTCCGCAGGCGCACGGCCGAGGAGCGCGAGACATAGGCACCGCCTGGGGACGAGGCATAGAGGCTTCGGCTGGTGCTGGGGCGCAGCGCGCTACCCAGGCTATAGGTGCGGGTGGACGTGGTCACGTAGCTCCGACTGGAGCTCGGCCGGCTCGCTGTGCCTGGACCGCCGAACATCCTGCGGTAGGAGGACGAGGACACAGACCTGGAGGACATGGTCAAGGAGGGAAGCGGTGGTCTGGGCGGCTGCGGAGGTGCGGACTGTCTCCGGGAGGAGAAGTTAGCAAGAGCGCGGTGGGTGTGGGCGGTGGGAGCGCTGCTGCGTCTCTAGCACGGGGACCCGGAGCAAGAGTGGCAGAGGACGGGACCCCGCCAAGGGCGCTGTTTTTATAACCCTGCTAGGAAAGAGGGTCCCCTCCCACTGCCATCCTAGCCGCGGAGCGCGCCAGCCAATGGGGACCCGGCGAGAAACCGGGAGGGTGGGCGGAAGGTTGGGGCGGGGGCTCCCTCGAGCTTTCTTCCTTGGCCGGCCGCCCTTTTCTGGGCACAGTCCCGTTACTTCTTGGGCTAGCCTGGGACTCTCAGGGGCTTTCCTGGTGATGTCCGGAACTCTGCTCTCCCACTGGGTGCTGAAAAGCGCGGGGTGGGGTGGCGGGTGTGGGGAGCGCCGGAAAGTGGACCCAAGGGGTCCCAGGCTTCCAGCCAAGGGGGCGTGGGAGGAGACGAGTTGGTAGGAGGGGCGCGGCCGCTGGGCTGCGGTCTGATGGGAGTGGGTGGTTGTGGAGACCCCCCAGGCAAAGGAGCAGGAAGAGGGGGAGGAAAGGATCGGATCGATCGGAAGGCGTGGAGAAAGAAACAAAGAGAACCGGAGATTGGAGTGCGGGGTGGAGACGCACGCAGCCCAGGACGCGGAGCTCAAGTCCCGCGCGGCTTCGCGCTCCACCCGCTTCGAAAGGGGACTACTCCACCCGTGCTTCTTTTCATTGTCTAGTCTTGGGGAATCCTGGGAATCCTGTTCAGGGACCTGAAAGGCCAGCTCAAGACGGCCAGAGCTTCGAGGCTACGGCCGAGGAAAGCCCAGGGGAGGGGGTGAGGTCGCTGAGTCACCCGCCGTGACTCACGGCTCCCTGCTGCACCGCGGAGATTGAAGGCTCCTAGCGGTTCAGGGTAAACCGTTAGACGAGATTGACTCAAGTCTCTTCTGGGCCCGCGCGCGACGTTTGTTCTAAGTTTCACCGACTTAGACCTGGGCCGCCGCTTTGATGTGTGCGGTCCAGCCGTAGGGAGACAAGAGCGCCCCTAAGTTCTTAAGAACTCGCCAAACCTGACTTTGTTCCAGTGCGCGGAATTCTCGTTAGTAAGAAACTTTTGCAGAACCTGGAGAGCGGCCAAAAGCGATTCTCTGAGATCACAAATGCACTCCGGGAGCCTTTTCATGCAAAGTTCCCTCCCCCGTCCCTCTGGTCTCCTCTGTCTCTCTGTCTCTATCTCTCAGTGTCTCTCTCAGTGTTTGTCTCCCTCCCTTCCCCCTCCCTCTTCCTCCTCCCCGCCATGAAACCACACCCGACTTTGAGCTCGATCTGCAAGTTCTGGGCGAAAGAGGAAACGGCATCCGTAGTTTCAAAATCAAATTCAAAGATCACTGGTTTTCTGCTAGTGGAAATCATTAAAGGTGTAATCTGAACAATTGCACAATTACTTAGGTATTGTTTAAGAACTCCCAATTTGATCAGTTCCAATGAAAACCAGTTGTATAACTCAAAGGATGGAATGTTTGGAGGAAATAAATTTGTGTTAAGTTTCAGGACAGCGATGTACAGTGTAGGATTCTGGTGCAATGTTGCAGTCCTGTCTTCCACAGGAATCCATGCAATTGGTCTTGGAGTTAAAACTGTCCACAAAGCAAAAAGTTTGGGGTCCAGGACATGGGAGTGTCCGGATTTGGCCTTCACCTTTCTAGGGATATCATTCAATTTAAAGGCTATTGTTTCAGTATTAGTAACAAGCCAGACTAAGTGGTTAGCAGCTCTGGCCCCAGGGGATCTGAACGGAGGACTTGTGATTAAGCAGTAGTTGAAAAATGACAGTTTTTTTTTTTAAGTGTTTAGATTTATGGGCTACTGCAAAACCATTGTAAAAGTAATTCTGTGGTAGATAAAGAAGTTTTTCCCTATGCTTATGGGGGGGCAGGGAGACACAAAGTATTGGAGATTACCTGACATTATTAAAAAAAAAAATAGTTTAGAGCCAAAGGAAGGATTTATTCTTGTTTCCTTTATACAGACCTCTTTTAGGCAATATTTTGTTTACCTCATTTCAGTTAGTCTTGGCAAATAGTGCTGCCAGGGTTAAGCTGCAGGACCCTTTGGGGCCCAGCTCTCCTGCTGTGGCTTTCTTTATTCTCTCATTCACTGGGGAGGCTGTGGGTCCTTCCCAAAGAGCATTCCTGGGGCTAGCCTGTGCTTCACATTACCATCTTGCTTACTGAGAGCCTTTTATTCAAGCCACTGCTCAGCAAATGTCACCATTGTGAGTTTGCCTGGAGCCCTTAGGTTGAGAAAAGCGATTTCCCAATGGAGGAAAGGGAGGGTGGACCTTCCTCCTGCATGAAATGTTGATCTCAGGGCAGTACAGTGGTACTGTCAAGGGACACTTGTTGACTGACTCACTATGGAAAATGAGGGCAAGGGCAAAGGTTCTGGTGTGGCATGGCAGTGTGCCCTGTCAGCACCCACACAAAATTCCTCAGAAAATTACTTCTCCCAGGATGGGTTCTGGCCCTTCTCATCATCTGAGGGGCATCTCTTCTTTCTAACTTGTTGCCACACTGTAATCTTAGGGGTGTGGGATCTGCTTGATGCCTATAAAACATACAAAAGTCTGTGTGTGTGTGTGTGTGTGTGTGTGTGTACATTTGTACATGTGTAGTATCCATTGTGTGTTTCCTGTTGGAAATTGCTGTAGTTTGGGGAAGACTGTAGAGTATAGATAAGTGAAAGCTACAAAAGCACTTCGCCATGCATGAAAAATACATAAGACTTTGAAAATAATTTAGCTCATTCTGAGAAATAACATATAGTCCCAGCTCAGTGCTTCACCCAATGGATAATAGTGATGGGAGTGGGGGAAAATCATTTGTCTAAATGAACACTGTCAAATGTGAAAACACATCTTGCTGGCTATGCTACCTATGTGCTTAGCTTCCTTTTGGAAGTAAACAGTACACAGACAGAGATATCTCAGCTTTCATATTTATTTTCTGATTGCTGTGAAAACCTATCTCAGAAGTATTTTTAAAAGCCAGATTCGGCATGATGCAAGTTGTATATAAATAAGGACATGGTCGTATGATCTGTAGGCCAGTGTAAACACTACCATGTCTAAAGTACTAACAGTGATTTTGGAATTTGCAAGCTGTGGTGATGTCAGTTGAATTGGGCGACTTGAACTGACAAACCAGCCAACCGTGTGGACAGGAGCTTAGTGCCTCTGGAGGCTTTGGAAACTGGCTAGCAGGAGGCCACATGAAGAGGACAACCACTAGTAGGTATTTCTGAATGGAATGTTTAGAAATGAGAAGGTGGACTGAATGAGAGTGTGGAAATATCATATAATACTCTGTAAATATACATGTATAATTTTATGTATTAGAAATCATATTGAAAAATGAGAGGTTGAAAACTGGCAAATATAAGAGTAATGGCAATAAAGGTAATAAATAATAATATGAATGCTTTAATTTTGTGCCTACTGGATGATGGGCATTGTGCATATATTTAACTTAATGCCCTCACAGTATATCCTTCAAGATAGACTTGATTTTCCTGTGGTTGTGTAGTTAATAGCACAGGTAAGCAGTGAATTTGAACTGAAGTCTCTCTGGCTCCAATTGTACTTGTTATTTCTCTTTGCCTTGATGATGAAACTTTGCTTACTATCAACCAATTCAATTCATAAATAGCATTTAGGTACCTACTGTGTTCCAGCAACTAAGAAAAAAAGATAGAATAAGTAACATCTTGCTGTGAAGGAATAGATTCCTAGAGGAATTTGGCAAATATACAGAATATCATGTTTTATGTTATTGAAATGATGTAAAAGTGACAATAGATAAGAGTGAAGCATTATTTTTACCTGCACTCTAAACCCATACTTTTCATTTAAAAGCTTGACATTTTCATCCAGATTCTGTTCCGCCTCTTCCCAACCAAAACTGAATTTGGCTCATTTCACACACTAAAACCTCCCAACCTTGCAGCTTCTCCTTCCAGCTTCTCTATTGGGGCCACAGAGCAAAGTAACAAGATTGGAAACTTTGATTATTGTCACTTCCTTATTCTTGGATCACTTAGACCCAGCACTACCTGTTACTCACATCCAACTTATTTCATACCTCATTCTCGAATTGCTGCAATTGGCTTCCTCTTCTTCCAGCTTTTCCCTTCTTCTACAATTCATCTGTCTTCAAGCTATAACCTCTTTTTCTTAAAGACTTCATTCTTAAGATTCCCTGATGATCCAAAGAGAGTTGTTCATCCTTTCACTAGGATGTAAACTCCGTGAGACAGGGATTTCTCTCTATTATTCACCGTTCTATTTTCAGTGGCTGGAGAAGAGTTGGACACACATGTCAAACATATGAATTAATTCATGAGTAGTTCATAAAAAGGAAAGGAGAGTGGGGCTAATATTTACTGGCGCTTATGTTTAAGCATTGTGCTAGTCATTTTAGATACAATTGCATTTAATCTTTTATGAAGTATTATGATCCATAACTTTTATTAATTTATTCAGAATGGATTATTGATTATTTATCCAGTGTCAGGCATTCTTCCAGATACTCGGGAAGATAAACAAGACAGGCATGGTTCAGGCCCTCTTGAACATAAATTTGAGTCTGCATGAGTGTGTACACAGTACAGGGAGACAGTACTCAAGTAAAGGAACAAACTTAAAAATGCAAGTTATAATAAAGACCACGAAAGAAACAGAAATTTCCATGTGAAGAGGTTGAAGTTCTTAACAAACATGTGGCCTTTGAAAAACCATGCAAAGTGTGCCCATGCATCCTCATTCTCCACTCTTCCCCAGGAGGCAAAAACTTCAATGAAGACTTGAGCTCTATTCCATGAATATGACACATTCACCCTACCTTCACATCTTTCCTCATATTTCTTTCAGCAGATAGGACCTGCTGGTTTGAAGTTTTGTTTCTGCAATTTCAGTTACCCAGGGCAAACAGTGGTCCAAAAATATAACACAGTGCAATAAGATTTTGAGAAGGAAGAGTCCATATTCATGTAACTTTTGCTACAGTGTATTGTTATAATTACTCCATTTTATTATAGTAATTCTTGTTAATGT